ATATTTAATGTTTATCTGTTAAAAAATTCACCACCTAATCACAATTCTTTACTAAAAAACTGAACAGCAGAAATGTTCTCGATGAAGGACCTGCCAGAAATATGCCTTTGTTTTTACACAAAGGCTATTCATACCAACTAAGTAGTTTCCACAGATTATTCCATCTGTGTTAGCAGTATACATGCATTTCTCTTCAGTCATTGAATATTCATATCTTTAGCATCCTATGTAATTAACTTAAATACTACATTTAAGAACTCCTTAAAATCTATTGTTTAAAATCTGTTACCATGTAAAAGAACTTTCCATATCACTAAGTGAGACCTTCCAGGGTATAAGTTTATGTTGTCTGTTGTTTGAAAATAGTTTTCAGGAATATATTTCAGAGCAGTGGGAAGTACCTTGTTGGTCTAATGTTAGAATTGAAAATGTCCATGCAGACAAAGCGAAGACATGAACATCTGAGATGTTAAATGATGTGCTGTGAGCTTGAAAAACATAGCAATGACCGGAAAAATACATTCTGGTCAAGGAGCACAAGGAAACAGAGCTCTGTACAGTGGTGCCACTGTGGGTTTTCCTAGCTCTTTGCTCAGTGAAGGGAAGGCATTATGGTAAATGCTTAGGCAGGCATCATCATGTGTTGCTTTCTATAATCCATGTTGTTCAGGGTCTCCTTAAATTAGTATCTAAAAAAAATTAGTATCTAAAGTAGAATGCAATGATACATGCCTCTAAGTCTGATAATACACAAACAGCAAGCAGCAAACTGATGTGGACAAGCACTATATGGAGTGTAGGGCTTTGCATGGTCTGAACAGTTGTCTGATTTTGTTACATGTATGCAGTTAATGCAATCAGTTTCTTAGCAAAAAACAGACTTTGGTAGGTGGCTGCTGTGGGTGGGTTTCAGTCTGTAGGTGGAACACCTCCAGTTTTAACGTTTTTTTTAATCAAGTTTATTAACGCATTCTCAGGAAAGTGTTTAATGTGTTATATAACTTTTTGAAGTTTTCTGGCTGAAAACTCTCTAAGCAAAGGAGTTTCACAACCCAGTATTGTACATCACAAGTATGTGTTTTAGCTTGGTGTTTACTCCTCCTTGTTCACAAGCAGGTATTAAGGCCAGTCAGTTCACTTAGCAGTCTTTCCTACCTGTCACTGTTTGCCTCAACTTTTCAAGGCAAAGTCTGGCTTGTGCTTTACTGCTTTGCACTGTGATCTGGTCAGGCTTTTCTGGGGCCTTCAGCATTTACCAGTTTTCATCATGCTTGTGCTCTAAAGCTCATGACAGACATTGTTTCATCAGAAATAACTGTCGTATTTTGAGGTTTGATGATTTTGTATGTGAGTCGGTTGGGTTTCTATTTGACTTCCCTTGTAATCTGGATTGGTATTTTTCATACTTAGGCAGTGGTAAAAAAGCAGTTCCTCTTTTGTTAGATATTTTTGGGTGAAAGTTTAGTAAAATTCATTGAAACTTCAAACTCTCTTATTAGATCCACTAGGAACTGCTATGAAAACTAACTTTCAAACAGGAAATAGCTGTATTTTCAGAAAAATTTCCTTATATCTCAAATCCGATGTATTGCAGTGCTTGTAGATAGCATATCCTTGATAGATTCTAAAAAACAAGGCATTCACTAAAATGTTGTCTTTAAAGTGAATAGATTTTCTCTACTTCCCATTAGAAAAATTGCTTTGAAATATTGTTGTAACCGTGAGCTACAACATGAGATCATTCTCTCTCAAACAGTTGTGAATTAAATTGTTTTATTTTTGCCTGAAGTTACATTCAAAGTAATTTTACTACGGAGGTGTGGAAGGCAGTTTGTAAAGGGATCTGCATTGGTTTAGTTACCTGCGGTGCTGGCTGATTCACATCATTATCCTAAATTCATGACCTGAAATGTATCTGTAGTGCTCCTGATCATTTCTCTTAGAGATCTAGTTTGGTAGTAATTCTGTCTTTATCTGGGATTCACAAAGGTGGCTGAGCAGCTTCACCTTCCATAACTGAGTGTGTTCTCAGGAAGTATTGAGGGAGCCGGTTGTTCCTTGTGTTAGCATAGCTCAGCTAGGTCAGGCCCTGAGGAAAAAGAGTTAAATCCACTTCACCTGCATATATCTTTGCACAGAAACCTGTAGGTTTCTCTCAGGCAGAGGTGAAACTGCAGCTCCTAAACTGATGCTGATAGGAAATTGTTAGCAACACTTACGCACCTCACGCAGAAGAGAAACTTAGTAATTTAGATTATTAATTTCAGGGTTTTGGTTTGAAATATTACCTTATCAAGAAATCCAGGAATTATTTTAGTTCCAAGTAATTTTGATTGTAGAAATTAGATCTCTCTTACTCTCTTTTTTTCTTCTTAAAGGAAAATGCCTTGTACAATCATCTTCCTGCACTGTTGGTGATCTTGCTGGTTAATACCTCAGATTATTGAAGAGTATTTTTAGACAGGCCTTGCCTTTATGACCTGCTCTACTTGGTTTGCAGATTCATCTGGCAACTCAGTTCTTTGCAGATATTTTGAATATCGTTTTTCTTGTGGTTTTGATACTCTACTATTCCTTCCACAGCTAGCTCACAAACAAATTTAAGTACAGTGTGAAAGATTATTTCTAGGATGTGGGGAAAAAACAAATGTGGAAAGTAAACTTAAAGAAAAGATTTGAACAGAGGTGGAAGTGCCTTCTATACCCTAAGGAACTGTCCCATACCCAATAATTCTCTTCATCTGGGGACAGAAGTCTTTTTCCCCTTCCCTAACACCACCCCAGGATACTAAACCTGTTTCTCCCAGCAGTCCTCCAGTAAAGCGGGTGCCTGTTGGTCTTCACCGCAGCTCCCTCCACTAGCCCCATTCCTGACAGCCAGTAAAGCATTCTCCTTTACAGGTTGGTGAGGAAAATAACTTCTGCTTAGACTGTCACAAAGGTTTTCCAGAAGTTGCTAGGCTACTGTTTGACTTTTTTTATATACATATATTTTATATATTCTTTCTGGTATAGGAGATATATAAACCCACCTTGGTTTACATTTGCTTTGTACACACTCTACTCTGGCACTCTGCCAGCAAAACCACCAGATTCTTGCAAACCCTGGGGGACTTTTCCCTAGAGGCACACAGAAAGGGCACAGCTACCTTATTTGCACTAGGGTCCTTGCAAGACCTGACAAACTGAAAGACTAGATGTACTACAGGAATTAGTGCACGTGTCAAGTGTTTCCTGCCCTGCATTTCTCACCTGCAGAAAGCCCCACAGTCTAAGCAGCCTATCATACTTTCTCTTTGAATCACAGTTTAATCTAACAGAAAAAGCTATTCTGAGGTGCAGTTTAGCTTCACTCACAGTCACAAAATGCTTCATTTTAAGGAAGTTTTTTGAAAGCACAACCCTGTAAACAAACAGTGGAGAAAGGAGTAAGTAAATGGGAGGCAGCTGACTTCTCCATCTGTTGTCCTCTACTGCACATCCAAGTACTTCCATGCTCCTCTGAGGTACTGGTAGCCCTTCTCCACCCATGCCAAATGGCAAGTTCAAAATACAGATGAATGCTGAGCAGCAGGAAAGGTGGTGGCAGTGATTTAAAGTGCTAAGAGCTGTTACCTTCCCTTGTTCTGTGTCCCTAGCTTTAAGTTCTACAGGGCACAGACTGTGGAAGAAATGGCCATTTCCCAACATCAGCTCATTATTTAGCAGGTTTTGTTGGTTTTGACTCAAGTCAGATATGTGCATCTAAGGGCAGTGTTTATTGTGGCAGTTGAAATTGATAAATCCTCATAGCTGTGTGCCTTTCTTGTCTTCATTGAATTTAGGTTCTTTATTTGATCTTTACTTATTATAAATTACTTGTATTCCTTCTGAATTTAAATCGATGACAAGAAGGAACTGACTGCTTGGAAATCAGTTGCGGCAACATGCAATAAGATCAGGGAGGGCCTCAAAGGACAAGGGGAAATCACCATTTGCTACCCACTGTTGACAGCTCAGTCCTCTCTTCCCCGTTTCTTCTTCAGCTCTCACAGCATTTGTGGTTACCTTTTTCCTCCCACTCCTAAAATCACAACTCCTACCGGGCTCTTGCAACCTACTGACATTTCATGTGCTGGAGAAGGGGAGCATTGTTTTTCCTTCCTGCACAGGGACATGCCCATCCTCCTGCCCAGGCTGCTGCCAGCCACAGGCCAGGGCACCACTGGTGGGTGCCTCGCTGGGCTGAACTGGAGTGACCAACCCATCCTGTTGCCAGCCAGGAGGAAGATGTGGTGCAGCCAGGTTGTGGTAGCAGCAGACTTCTTTCCTCTGTTGGAAAGGGCTGTGCTGCTGCCGCCTGCCCGCAAACCCCACCAGGAGCTCTGAGGTAAGGCAGGCTGTGGCTTCTGCAGGGACAGCCCTGCTTGTCCTCATAGCACCAGAGGAGGAAGAGGAGCAAAATCACTGAGGTATCTGGTGTTGTGTGAGGTTTGCTGGTAGTAACTGGACTGGGCCATCTCTGCAGGCTATTTCTGGAGTCTGTGAGGCCTCACTCCTGCGTGTGGTGGTAGGGTTGGTGCTGATGGTTCTGACTCTGGTTAAGTGTACCTGCCCATGAAACACCCCCAAGAACAGGGGAGTGCTGTCACCATGGCCTGGTCAATCTGTGAGGTAGCTAACTGTCATGGCGCTACTTCAGTCCTCAGCCTCCTTGTGAGGCACCCCTTCTGTAGTGCTGCTGGGTCAGGACAGCCTCTGGTAACAGGAAGACTTCAAGCCTTGTGGGGCTCCCTTATGGCTTCGTGATGGCTCATATGGCAATCAGAGCTGGTGCCCTCCTGGGGAAGGGCTTCACCCTGTGATCCCATTGCCAGCCCCACAGAGGGGTTTCTCTCACTGCAGGCCATTTGTGGATGGTAGTAAAAAGGGCACACTTTTTCTGCGTTTTTGGCTAAGAACAGGGTCTCTTCATTTCATTGCACCCTTTCTGAACAAGCACAGTACCAGGGTGAAATAACCCCTTGTTTTTTTCCTTCTCTTTTCAGTGCTGAAACAGTTTCCCAGTGATGTTCTACAGTTAAGCTTGCCTGAGGGTGTCCTGTTGTGCAGGGATTGAAGAGCAAAGAGAATGGGGGAAGAAAGAGCCCAGGGATCTGGTAGTAAATCTCATCTGTTATTGACCAGCAAACATCTAACACTTGACTTATTTTGTGTGGGCTTTAGGTTCTCCTTCCATAAATTGAGGGAAGAAACCAATTGCAATGGTTTTTATAGATTTTTTTTTTATTTTTTGATTAAAAATATAGAGTTTTGTGTAAGGAATTCATCAGTATTATAAATATGCTTATTTACTATTAGTAATTCCATATTTAACTCCTAAAAGATTTTGGGGATGCTGTTTCTGAAAGAAAGTAAAATAAATATATCCCAAGAATTTAGTATTTTCTCAAGAGGAATTAAAACTAATCAACCTTTTAAACTCTACTTTCAAATGACACTAATGATGTCAAAGTCTAATCATTGTATTTATTGAATGTTATTATATATTTGATATGAGCTCTACCTATATTTTATATATTACTCTGTAATGATTTGTTGTTCCTTCTAGGATCTTTGGCCCTGACTGCTGACCTCAATGCAAAGCCACTGTCTGAAGGGAAGAGAGACTTGGACAATGAATCGATGTTAAACGTATGTTTGGTTTCTTGGTTCTCAGCATGCCAAGGTGTTCTGTACATTATTAATGAACCACCCAGAGGTTTTCTACATTTTATTCTCAGCATTTCTGAATGACAAACAGAAAGCTTATAAGTAGGTGAGGAAATATGGTATGTGCAATTTTCTGTAATGGTTTTCCTAAGAAGAAAAAATAATCCTACAAAGGAGTGTAGCATAAATTTACAAGTTCAAATAGTACTTAATGTCAAACAGCTTGTAGTCTTGTTTCTAGATTTTGATTGCTTTTTTAAATTAAGTGTTAAAGGGAGGGAATATGACCTCCAAAATAAGCAAGAAGATGTTGATTATAAAATAATTGCCTATACAGACCCAGAGATATATGGCAGGAATTAGCATATCATTAATATTCAGTGCCAACAGTGACATTTATTTTACTCCTGTTAATGTCACGATAGCTCCATCTTGTGGTTGACTGAATATTACCTGACGATTCATTGTCATTTAGATTCTATGGGAAAAGTACAGTCGAAAACAAACACGACAAACTCCTGGTGAGGAGAGGAAATTTTAGCTGTGATTAATTTAGTTGCAGTTGTTTATAGAGAAAGAAACAGCAAACAGAAATAAAGCCTGAGTGTTTAGTCCTTGCCTTCAGTAGTTGCTATTTTTGCCCCAAGTCAATAAACATTAAAGGTGGGAAGTTTTACTTAAAATACTATTTTAGAAAATGAAAGAAAAAATTTCACACAGCTTCTGATTAGCTGAATTACTGAGTTTGTGAAGCATATGTGCGCTGCCGTTATGTTTTGTTTCTATTTCATACAGGTGTTCAAAACCACTGCTGCTTGTCAACAGTTCACCCTTGAAGCTGCAATTAAAAACGTTGACAAGATGTCCAGTGAGCTGAAAAAAATGACTGGTAATTCTGAGTTCCTTGTCCACTTAACACAGGTTACAGAGTGTGCAGCTGTGAATGGCTTGGGTTTCTGTGTCGTGCAGCTGGTTTGTATTCTAATGAAACAAAGCAGTTGCTCGTCTGGTTTGAAAAAATGAAACAGTAGTTGCATAGAAGTGGAATCATATTGGCTAACCATGGCAAAAACCTGGTATGCAGTCAAAGTCATTCCTTTGTGGGAACAATAATCCTTTTCTGGTAGAAGTATTAGCAGTATGCTAACACCAAACGTTATTTCACCATCCCGAAGTAAAGAAAACAAGGCAACCCTTTGGATGTTTTAAAGCATTGATAGATGAACACTTCAGAAAGTGCTGTATATAACCCGCCATTCCATTAGCATCTACCATTCAATAAACATGATAGTGATATGCTGCCCTTTGTCTTCCAGTGGAAAGCCAGCTACTGCTTTGTGACCTTATTCTGAATTTTAACCATCCTGCGAAGGCCAAAGATTTAAGAGAAGCTGAAGAAAAACAGTGGAGTTTGACAGATTAAGTAATAGCATCCATTCTCATTCAGCATCTTCTATTCATACTGCTTCAGTTTGAACTGTAAAATGATAGCAGGCTTTCCTGCAGTTAGGCTATTCTTATTTTAAACTGAAAATGTGGAGTGGAAAAATGCCATAAGTAGGTTATTGATCTTGAGATGGTTTTTTTTCAACCCACATTTAGCCCACTAGGGCTAGGAAAATGGATAGAATTAACTAGAGAGAGTTAACAGAGTCGGGGATCTGGACCTGAATGTTTTCATATGTAGTTGTTGCCTTTTAAACAAAGATGTACTGGAACAGTAACAAAAGATTTTCAGTCACTTCAAGTGAAGTCATTGCTCTCTTTTCTCAGTTGTGCTCTGGAAAACAGGATAAGGAACAGTCCGTAGAGGAGGACCTGCAAGTTGTCATTTCATCTTCCTTCCTCATTCTGAAAGTGCTGCTGAGGAAGGGGGCAAAGAGCAGACTAGTTCTGGTAAACCAAAAGTACTTTCATTCTGGAAAAGTCTGCAGTGACTTTCTGGTTTAGAGGTCTGAATACTCTGAAATCTCAGCCCAAAATCTGAATAGCCAGTATTTTCATGTAGTTCATTGTACTAAATTGTCAATCTTACTTTACTTGTGGACGTGTTTGAATGTTGAGGTGTGTTTTGTATTCATATACAAATATATTTCTCTGAATAATCATTTCAAGATTCACTCTGCTGAAAAAAAATGAGCAGTGTTATATTTCTTGTGCTGGTTTGCATTATATTTCTCTTTCACTAAGGGGCTGATCTCTAACAGTTGTATGGGAGGTGGTTTGGGGCTGTCAGATTTGCAAGGCAGTGCAGTGAAATACAGTTGCAACCTCTGGCTTGCAAAGTCAGTGGTAATCTGGGGGATGTTGTTCTTAATTTTAGCATGGTTTTTAGAACACACATCAGACCTGACTCTTCTTTCACAAGATGAGGAGTGAGTCTTTTTAAGATGTTGAGCTAGAAACAGGGATTTGTCAGCTGAAGCACTTTTGAAATCTTATTTTTCGTCTTTTGTTTTTTTGACTCATGGTTGCATGGAAATGAAATTCACTGACTTTGAATTCCAGTTCCTAGCTAAATATATTAGAAAGGAAGATAACATTTACAAAACATGTATATTTAAAGTAAAACTGTTGATAAAATCTGATTGTTTCACCTGAGAAGCTATACAGATTACATGGAAGATGTTTTTCTGCCTTGAATTTTGGTTCAGATGCTTCAAGTCGTATATCCACAAAGGACTCTTAAAGGAGAAGTGTGACAAAGTCTAACGTAACTATCAAACCAAGGTCTTGTCAGAAAATAAAGCTTAGTAGAAACCTGGGGTTGGATAAATCCCACTTAACAAGGAATGGGAAAATCCCTTGACATGGTGTGCTTCAGTGGTCTCAGCTGTGACTGCTGGTTTAGAACTGAGGATGTTACCGGTTTTCTTGAAAACATACAGTCAAACCAGAAAGCAGTTGTGTAAGAGGAACCGAGTTCAGGCTGACCATGTGCGCCTGCTTTCTAAGAGATGGGGGGTGTTCTGCTCATGAAGAATCACGTGATGAGAATCTTGTTGATGTGGTTCCTATGAAAAACGAGTTGCTTAATTTAGAGTCAGAAAGACACAGCTAAAGAGAGGTCTATGTTCAGGGGAAATGCTTGTTCCTGGCTGAGGTTAGAGGCTCCTAGAGGTACATAATTCCAGCTTGCAGGCTAAGACATGCCATCAGTGAATCACCAGTGGTATGGCAAAGAGAACATGAAAGCTGCAGATATTTTATTTTCCTCAAAAAATTTGAACAAAGACAATTTCATAGCTGAATAACACAGACACAGACCTTGACAGGAACTGCATATCCAGTGTTAAGGGATTCTTGGTGTCTCTAAAACCCATGTGTCCTTAGGATCCCGGTCAGAGGCCCACTCTTTTCACAGAAGTGGCCATAGTTAGATTTACAGGGAAGCGGATTGTCGGAAAAAAACAGGGCCTTTATTGTCTTTTGTCTGCTCCTCAACTTTGACAAGGTTTGGGTCTACTCTGTATCACTCTACATAACACAACTGCTGCTGCTCTTCCAGTCTGAAAAATAGCTTTTCCATTTTCCTCCTATGAAAGCAGGGGCTTGTGTTGGTGTTTATTTCTGGGTGCTCTAACTAGGCGTGGAAGTCATTGCAAGAAGACACACACAAAGGTACAATTTTCTCATGCACTCTATGATTAGTGGGCTGTAATAAACACATAGTAAGAAAGTCAGATTCAGAGTGCTGCATTTAAGGCATAATTTAAAAAATAACATTGTCCTTTTTGCTTAAAATCAAAAGGATTTTTAATGACTTCATGGTTTTTGTTTGCTGTAAAAGGCAACATCCTGATGTTTACAGACTTCAGAACGCTTCAGTATTATATGTAATCGTCCTTAAGGTCTCATCTAAATATGTCCTGCAGCATATTTTAACATGCACTGGTTTCTTGAACCTCTGTCTTTCCCATCAATCAGAAGGAGAGGCGTTCTTTGGAAGTAATCTATGATATCTGCTACAGAAGAAAAATCCTGTGGGATGGAAAACAATGAGAAGGATATGGCACAAATGTCAAAATGATTCATAATTAGTAAAACCAAGGGGGCTTTTTTAAACTCTAAATATTTAGCAGTTTTATAGGGTCTAGTAAATACTATCAGATCATGCTTGCCATGGTGAGCACACCTGGAAGTTCAAAAAGATGACTGATAAATTCAGAGAGCTATGACTCAACCAGAACTGTGGTACACGTGCTGCCCAGTCTGTCTGGTGCCAGGAAACCCAACCTGTGTGCTGAATGGAATAAACCAGCTGTCTGGGTCCAAAGCAGTAAGGTTGGCAGATACGGATTTGCTCTCAGCTGTTTACTTCCCTTATGTGGTATCCTAGTGGTAAGCAAACATTCCTAACCAACTATGTGGATTTCTAATAGCTGCATTTTAAAGCTATCCCTTCATTCCCTGAAGGGAATCTGATTTCACTTCCAGCAGTAATACGTTCTATCAGGAATAACTCTAAGACACTATGCAGAATTCCACTGGAGTAAAACAGCTGCCAGGCTAAGTGGCCTGACACTTAAGAATGAGACAGGAGATACTTTGAGATGAAGGGAAATAGTATGAAAAACACGTAGTACCTCTTTTCCTTTTAAGCCAGTTCCTAACAAATATAAGTGGTTTTGCTCCTGGTAACGAATCTGGATGTTGTATACTTTATCTCTGTACAACACCATCAGGACATAAGGGTGAGTAACGGTTTTTCTTGAGCTGTCTCTTACCAAGAATGTTCCATCCTGAAAGATGAAAAAATGAAGGATGACAAAACTCCATCACTTCTAGGTTTGAGCAGCATAACAACCTGAGCTAGAGCACTTATTATAGAATCACAGAATCCCAGACTGGTTTGTGTTGGAAACGACTGTAAAACTCATCTTGTTCCAACTCCCTACCATGGGCAAGGACACTTTCCACTAGACCAGGTTGCTCCAAGCCCCTGTGTCCAACCTGGCCTCATGTTTTCAAATGTTTTTTCTGTCTGAAATATCTTTCCTCCTAGTAAGAGAAGCTGCACTATTAAAGAGTTTAGACAATTTCTCTAATGTTTTATCTTTCAGTTTGCTATTTAAAACTTTCCTGTATGATACAAATGCAAATGGTTTAGAGAAGGGAAGAACGCTGTCCTGTGACAAAGAGATTACATTGAAGGAGGAAGTAAAATATCAGAAGCCAAACCTCACATCACTTGAACTGGAAGAGAAGTTTGTTTCCAGTAAGTGCCACTCAAGGATCCTGTGTGATCTATTTACAGACAGCCTGAAGTACGGATAGTGTCTGTGTCATTTTAGTAATGACATTGTCCAGACACCTCCCTCTGCTTTTCTTCATTTCAGATCTTTTTTAAAAGTCTTCCATTGAAACACCCTTTCTTAAAGGTACTGAATGTGATCTGGACCTTGGTACAAGTCATGGAAATGTTGTTTGTGTCATCTTCATTGTATGTGCTGTAAAGCCTCATAGAGTAAACAGATTTCCCACAGTGACGGGGTTCAGTTTGCTTCACCTCCACATGCACAGTTAAGCCTGGGTTTTATGTTTGTGTCTCTACTTCATTTAGCTGGTAAATGTGGCCTAGAAGAGGGTGGGATTTATCTCATCTAACTCAAGCTATCTAAAACTTGAGGGTAGCAACAAATTCCTCATTGGTGACAGGGAGTTATTTCCAGAGTACAAGTCACTGCTGCTAAGAGAGGTGAGGTGAAACTGCTTTGTGGAAACATGCCATTTATTGTCTTGGACTCTGGAAACCAACAGCCTTCATGTCTGGTTTAGACTAGAAACGTAACTTCTGTGTATGTAAAGACACTCAAGAAGCATCCGCCACTCCAAGTCTTTATATTGACACTATAATCTTAGCCTGTTTTTTACCTTCACTCTCCCCATATGACTGCAAGGACATCTAGAAAAGGGATGGTGGGAAGCACCAAGGATTTAAAGAGTACCTTGTTTATCTTCCGAAGAGCTGCTTCTGCTTGTGGCCGGCTAACATAGGCAACATACCATTCATTGTGTAGTGAGTCCTGGGGGGTGTAAGAGGGGAGAAAGTTGTGAAATTCATTAGCTTGTGATGTTAACAACATACAAATAGTAAAGAGAAATCGGATTATGAGGGACATTTGGGTTCATATGCAGAGTGTATGAGGGAGTGATCTTCAGGGATCATACCAATATGGCGAGTGACACTACATGATTTTACTATGATCTGAACATGTTACAGACCTAGTTAAAATATGTCTGCAAGTAAGCTGGGAAAACAGAAACTTCCAAATATTCTCAGTACAAGATAGAATTCAAAATGACATTTTCTCTTCTGTCTGCCTGGGCCATGGTGGTGGCTTTTCTAATTATTGCATTTTTCCTTTTTTCACTATCATCTGAGGCAACCTGCAGCCTTCCTGCAAACATGCCATGTATGGCTGCCCAGCAGTGTTATCATCAGGAGTAATTTACTCTAAACTTGTCATGTTTAAAGAAATGTGAAACAAAAATGCACTTAAAGGGTATGAATTGTTTACACACCTAGGTTTTGTGGAAGGAAAACCCAAGGGGTGGTGGTAGTTGAGAGCAATTGTGCAAAACAAGTAATCCAGCAAACAAGTATTTTTCTTACTTTGTTCTACTGGGGTTTTCCTATTGTCTTTCTTGAGGAAGACAAAATAAGGCACTAAAGTCAGCACAGGAAACTGAAAGCACGTTCTGACATCCTGATACTGACTACTTTCTAGAAAAACAACTTTGAAAAACCCTTTTCTCTTGAAATCACAACATTTGCTGTTCAGCAATGATGGTTAATACTTGTGATGTCTTGTACCTCATCTTCCTCCGTGTTAGTTTGGTGGGCAGTCTGTCTGCTAGGAATTGGCAGAGGAGGTCTTACGTCAGCTGCACCTCTTGAAGGGGATCTGCTGTAGCTTCCTTCAAAGAGAATAGGAGGAAAAATGTTAAAATTGGGAAAATAATTTAATCTATGTGTTGAGTGCATACAGGGAGTACAATTTGGATTTTGTGAGTCATGAAGAATTTCTGTCGCTCTGATACTGACATTCTGAATTGATTTGAAATCAGATTTAGGCTGCTGCTTAAGACCCATCTTCTTTACATAAATTTATCCTTGGTGCACAGGGACATTAATGAACTGCAGTTCAGTTAAAAGCAGGTGAACTTGAAACAGGTTACAGCTTTTGAGCTTCTGTAACACAGTTATTCAGTTGAGAACAGCTCTGGCTTCTTAGACAGTTAAATGTAACGTGTCTCTTTGCATTCCTTGCAGCCTTAGCATGGAGAAGGTACAAAATGTCACTATAAGACATTGGCAGCTGTTAACCATATGTGGGAAATTATTTGCAAAGCAATCACTTTCTAAGCTTCCTTTATATTTCACTTGTTATTACAAGCTAAACATGCAGCATACTTCACATGGAAAGGGTTTACTCCCTTTTTGGAGAGTATTAGTATACCACAGTGACTTGCAGGTAATGTTGCTCAGCTCTCAGTATATATAAAATACATATTTATATTATATATATCAGTATATATTAAAAAGATGCTTATGTGAGGTTTTGACAGTGGTTTCGCTAAGCATTAAGCCCTAACTTCACTGGAAAAAAACATCTTTGATTCAGGCTGAGTTACACAAGCTGCCTTTCAGGAACTTGATGGTAGTTTTCTGTTCACAGTTCAACCAGAAACATCCTTAGAGAAAAGCCATTATACTGACTCTACTGAAGCCACCTTTCAACCCTCAGTCATTTTTCATACAAAAAAGGCAGGAATGGAGGATACAAACCTAGATGTAAGCGTGGTGGTAGTGAGCCAGTTGAAGAGCGGTTTCTAGCACTGTTTAAAAGGAAAACAAAGGAGTCAGTGTAACTGCAACACTGCTGTACATTTCTATGCTCCGAGGAGCCTGTTTTACAGAACATGAGATCCTCTTGAGACCTATGCAGGATGAGGGTAGCCTGCTCTCTCCTCTTTCCTTTTTTAAATGTAAGTAGATCCACTATTATGTCTCCGCTATTGGAGACACTTCAAAGCCATTGGGACATGGTGCTGAGCAGCTGTAGGTGACCCTGCTTGAGCAGGGAGTTTGGACCAGGTGATGTCCAGAGATTCCTGGCCTCCTCAACCACACTGTGATTCTCTGAGGTGACAGTGGCCCTGAGTTCATACCCGCAGTGCCGTAACACCTCCATGTGCCTATGAGCTCCCTCCTGTATTCATTTTTATTCTTTTTTGTTAGAAAACCTACAGTTTCCTCTTATGGCCTGATCACTCCATTGGGAACAAGCTGCCTGAACTCTTTTCCTTTATAGTTCATATTTCTCTCCTGCTTAAATGAACAGCACAAGAAGCTCTGGGATAAATATGTTAATTGTTTGCAGAACAAAACCACGCTATCATGACTTGATTCATGGGAAAGAATCAGCCAAGTGGGGCCTCTGCTATAGCAAAATTTGGCAATGCTGTTTGAATGTAAGCAGAAGTGTTCATCATAGGAATAGTTCCTATTTGCATATGACCTTGCCTTTGCTACTGCAATATTTGTTCTACTGGGGTGTCAGCAGCTCCAGAGGATGATGGTAAATGGGAGGAATTCATCAAAGAGCCATTAAAAAAAATACAGAGCTTAGAAAATGTACTTGAGACTTAGACTCAAGGAGTCCACTGTAACTCATCAAAGCTTGGTCTGTTGCACACTGCATCAGAAATCAAAATTTAATTAAGGGCTCTTCCATCTAGCAAATGAAGACATAGCAATCTAATACTTAGAAGCTGAAGCTACAAAGAAATCACAATTGAAGCAAGGGTCACAATTTTAATGGGAATTTTAATGGTTAGAGTATATTCCACAGTCAATTCTAGACAGCAAAGGTGGTGGGGGTTTAGTTCTGAAGCAATTATTAGTCACAGCTGTAGCACTTAGGCTTCTAGAGCAGAGTCCTCTTAGAGAAGGACCTCTGCCCTACATCCTGCACAGATTTTTATGATGACTATCCTTCCTAAAAGGTCTTGTCATTCTTAGGGATCCTGGAGGCAATGGTAGAGAACAGAAGCATTGGACGATGTAGGCCCTAAAATACTGCCTTGACAAAAACCTGAGAGACTGGTTTTATTTTGTTGCCATATGTCCACTATCTGCTTCACTGGATACAGAGCTTCAGTTATATGAAGGATTCTCCTTGATAGTAAGAACAACACAAATTATCATGTAGTGGAGGCAAGGGTATGGCCTGAAAAATAATGGACTACTTCAAGTAGTTGCCTTTTGTTCACCTGAGAACCCTGTAGCCACCTACATACTATTATTTGCTAAATTGCACAGAGATTCACAGGAATGACACAATAATGGGTGAAACAAACCTTTCTGCACCAGGCAGAGTGCTGGAGCTTGGCTTAGGTGGAGGCTTGACAGATTTGGATGGGAATGTATTGGAGCTGTATGGGGGCAAAGATATCTGTGGCACTGGTCTTTGGGGTGCCGCTGTGGAGAGAAAGAGAAGGAAATGTCAAACTTGTGAGACATTCTTAAAGGAGGTAAAATGAAGAACTGGTGTCACATTGTTTAACTAGATGAGCATAATGGAGGAAACTGTTCTATAAAATGTTTTTGATATGTTAGTTACAGATTGTAAGCTCAGATGGTCAAATGAGAACTTAAATATTACAATTACAAATAAACTAGAATGGGTTGAGCAACACTTACATTTACATGTTCTACCTTCAGTTTTGGACAAGCCAAAGTTCAGATAACTGCCACAGAGCTGAAGATGGTACATAACTGTGTGTTCTCTGTTATGTTGTTTCTAAAGAGTGCACTTGAGGTTACCTTCTTGAACTTCATTCCTTTGTGAAATTTCTCCCATATAATCATAAAGAACAGCATAAAATAAAACGTTTTCTTCTGCAGTGTCCTCAGAAATCAACTACTGGTAAGAGGGGAGTAGATTAATCACTCTCTGCACAGCTCAAACAGCCCTCTTCTTCATTGAGGCTTAGAGGCAGTGATAATTTATAGACTTGGCCAAATGTTCTGCCTCTGTTAGGGCATCACTTTACAAACTTCATTTTAGGAACCAGGATTCTGAAGTAATTTATAAATACCAATATTGCATGAATCAAGTTCTACTTCTGTCCATTAGAGTAAAAATCATTACACAGAAGACAGGCAGGGTCTGACGGGATGTTTGGTTGCAGGCTGGGAGGATACCAGGTCTACATGCCCAGCTGCCTGATGTTTGATGCTGTGTGCAGACCACAGATCTCTAAAATGAAATGTATTTCAAACTAAGGAGCCCTGCTGTCCTGTAGGTGGCTTACTATGAAGGGTCTATTAGCTATTGATTTCCTGTGTTTTGCAGCCTTAATATATACATCTGTAGGAGGTGTCTTATAAGCGCTCTACAACCTGTCAAGATACCACCTGCCATTTTGAAATGGCTTTAAAGAAACAACTTTGCAATCACTTTTTTCTTTTTAGAACTAAGACCAAGAAAGACTTAAAGTTTGAAAAATCACAGTAGAGATACTCACTGTTGTCTTCTTCCTGGGGAGCCAAAAGAAAAGAAACATTAGCAACATATTATAGCACAGGTCTTAAGAATATTTTACAAAACAAAAACCTGGAAGTTGGTGAATTTTGAATATGCAAGGACTCCAATTCTATACTGTCACTTTCATCTAAACTGCTGAGGTTTCTACCTTCATCCAACACCAAATCATTTTTCAAGCTCTATTATTACAAATGAGGTGTGAGGTAGATGGATCTTGACCTAAACTAGTAAGAAATTCTCAGCAGATGTAAACTTTCCCCATTCCATCAAGAAGTGCAGGCTATAAGTTATCTGAAAGTGAATTCCTTAGGTCAACTTAAGCTGGAAAAGAACCCCCAAACGCCCAAACCTAGTGTAAGCAAAGCCACTTCTCCCATGACAGAAAAAAATCTGGTCTTATTATGTATCCAAGATAAATTACTCTGGGAATAAACTGAGCTTGACATAGAAGAACTGTTCAAAAAGGAACCAAGAGTATTTTTTATAACTGATAAAAGAAATGAGTTTACCTTTTCCAGAATTACTCATTTATACAGCTACTTCATTTTACTGTACTCCCTATACCTTTCAACATTTGCTTTGAGACTATACTTACTTGAGGGGTTTTGTGTGGTGGCCAACATTGCCTGAAATGAAAGAGAGAAAACAAAACATGAATCATAGGTGGAATGTTACTCATGTACTTTGTGTGCATTAGGCTGTATTTTCAACTAAGATATGAATTTGTAGCAAGTATACAGACCTAATGAATGCAGAAACATTGTTTCCCCTCATAAAAATATCTGAGATTCTAATTTCCACCTATAAGATGTCACACTAGTCCTTAGCCCATCTTGACTCTATCAGCAAGGAAAACGTCTGATGAATTGATCATGATATTAGAATTTAAAACAAGTTTCTACAATTACAGAGCATTAGACTGCAAGTCTTAAACTTCTTTCTAGTCCTTAGCAACACTGCTGGAGCACACGCTAAGCCTTCCAGTTATCCTTTCTCTGATAAATTATCCTGGCTGATTAGCAGATCTCAATAACTTTCTTTTCGTGTTTTAAGATCAGTCACACTATTGAGCCCACAAGTTATCTAGAAAAGGCTAGAGAATTATCTAGTTCTGCTGGTTGCTGCTGAGAAGGAACTTTGCAGGTGAGTAAAATCCATGGTAGGAAAGTAAAGCTTTCTTTTTCTAACATCCTAAAAACAATAGCCAGAGAACTCATGAAGGAATGTTCCCCAGAGCAAGAACCTAATCCGGTCAAGTTTTAATCACCTTTCTGTTTCAGTTTTAGTAGAAACCACGGATCACACATTTCTTTGTGCAACTTGGCTGTTTCAGATGTGGCTGGGGAAATCTCCTTCTGCATTCACACTCTTCTGTCACTTAGAGCATAGCCCTTGCATGTTCATAGGGCAAAACTGATAACCACAGGCACTGCTGTTATGCAAAGACAGTAAGTTCTACCATCCTGTATTGCTTATCTGTGATTTTATTGAATTGAATTTATCCTTTATTAAATTTCAGTTAAATGAGCACTTACTTTACAGGGGTTGGCTTCCTTAGAGGAGATGGATTGCCTCTTTCATATCTGTCACTGGGTGGGACAGAAGGTTTTGGCATCATTGCTAGCTGTTCACCCAGGGATCTGAAGCAAGAGCAAGATGATGAAATAAATGCAAAAAGCTGCTTACTAAGGAATAATTGGGTAATACTTGCAACGAGAGTCTCATCACCAGAGGCAAAACTCTTACCTTAGCTGTAAAGCCAGAGGCTGTAAAGCAACAAGGAATAGTTAAGAGAATGTGTATCAAAATAGGTAAAAAATATCAATAAGCTTCAAACAAAAAGACTTTACCTTTTCAGGAGTGCTGGGCTTCCTCCCTGAAAATAGTGAAAGCTTACACTCAGAAAAAATGAAAGGTAAGATCATTAAAATTTCAATGAAACAAACAGGGTTTGAACATCATTGAATGTGAATTTTGCAGATTGAAGCATTCGGCCTCCTGAGGTGTAAGCCAGACAGATTTTTTGGCTTTGCAAGGAATGGCAAAATTACGGTATCTCTTTTTATACATTTCAAAGTGGCATGGTTTACAATCTTATTTTCTATGGTTCAACTTTGAATTGCTGGATACTTTTATGCCATTTTATAACAAATGGAAGTGTTTGATAAATAAAAATCATAGAGTATTCTGTTTAGAATCTCTGTAAAATGTGGGTTTCAGGTCTGAAACAAATACATTTGTTTTCCTATTTTTTTTCAGTTCTCAGATTTCTTTTAAGTCTGGGTGCCAAATTACATAGAGTGATGTGTGCAGTTTCCTTAGTTATGTATGCAAAAGTTATTTTCTTTTAATCTACTAAATATTTCCTTGTTCATTCACTTAAGTAATTGCCTCAAACCTTTATTGCACAGGGATCTCCTAATGTCTTTCTGTTCGAATAGTCCTGAGCAAGGCTTGCAACTTCCTAGATACAATTTCTCTTGCTTTTTAAGAAATGTTCATATTGTTTATTCAGAAACAGATCACCTTGAGTGTGATTGGATTACAGTACCTTTGGTTGAGCCTTGTTCATTTGCATGCATGATATTCAAACTGGTAATTTTGAATAATTAAAAACCCCAGTGATATTAACACAAGCAAATACTCACCTGGTCCAAGGCTTTCTCTCTCAAATGGCAGAGCAAGGCGATCCAGTGAGGGCTTTGTGCTTCTGTCTATAGAAGGAGCTGGGGCTAAACGCAACAGTTGTGTAAGATAATTTTCTCCTATAGGTCAGTATGGCTTCATTTTGCATAGCCATGAGCTGGTGTTACTTCTTAGAATAACAACTCAGGCTACATACAGTAGAAGAGAGGGGGCTGAGAAGCAGAAATGAAGCACTATATAGCATGTGGGGAAAGCTTTATAAGGAGAAAAACAGCTGTACTTACGTTTCAAAGGCTTGATATTTCTGTCTCTACTTAAGTCATTGTTGCTTGGTGGAGGAGGAAAAGCTGGCAGCTAAAACAAATGTTTTACATATTGTTAAAGTGTGTCTTCACCTACCTACTTCAGTTTTAGTAAATTAACCCACCACATCACATCTGCCAATCTTGGTCTCTGGTATAGCACAAGGAATAGGCCTCTGCTCATTGCAGGAAGGATGGGAGCCATTAGCACTCCTGAAGAATGACCTATATACACAGGGTTTTGTTACAGGCAGAATTGTCTTAATTTGTTTTGTCTCACAAGGAATACTCTAGAGAGATGGTATCTTTGGCGAGGGCACAAGTAAACAAAATAGCAAAGGAAAAAATGGGAGCTTCAACAATGCTGTTGTGCCTTTTCTCCCTTCAATGCAATTAGTGCTAGTTTTAAAGTTAGGGGATGTAAATTTGAAGTTGGGAAATATATATGAAGTCTGTGTTACTGACTGCTGCAGGGTCAGACAGCACTGTGCTGTCAACAGCTGTGAAAGATGTTGGCATCTAAACATAGATTTGTCCGGACAGATGCATTCCAATGTTGTGGTTCCTAATGACAAATGAAATAGATGAAGTATTAAGAAAGAAACATACAGAAGCACCTCTTCCTCCAAAGGAGGCTGGTACTGGGGATGGGCCGGGTCGCTGCGGTGGTACTGGAGGCTGTTGCGATGATCGAGTGGTTGGAGGTCTGTCTAGAGGAAAAAAAAAAAATCCCAAACTAAACAACTACTGAGTTTGATTCTTTTATTCTCATTAGATCTTTATGAGAAAGGCCCTTGCAATAGCCTGTGTACTTAATATATCATAAATATATTGTTTGAGTAGGTAATGGACAGTTACTTCATGATCAGTGGTGTACTGGTAGTTACAGGCTCATGAATCCCTTTGCCTCTGAGGTGGCACCATGTTAGTCTGCTGGCACTCACTATTTGTTTTCACCTCCTGCAGTGCAGGCACTGTGTGAAACACCAGCCAGCCTCAATGGCAGGTTTGAAGCCACAACTGCAGGCTCCTGAAGAATCAGGCATGAAAACATTGCAAGCAGAGAAAGGCACACTTTCCGCCGCTGCTGTAACAGCTTGCTCTGTTCAAGGTTGCGTGCTAACGCTGATACAATATGCCTGTATGTTTAGCTTCATACAAGTTCAGACCAAAGGTCTGAATGTACACATCACGTGAAACTAACGAAACTTACCTTTAACCCAACAGAGCTCGTCTGAAGTAGAAAATCTAGCTTCAAAAGTCACAGAGCCTCCAGCATGCTGTAAGTCTGTCACTAAATCTTGTCCATGAACTACACAGCTGACTTCAAGAAAAATCTTTCTATATTCCATTACCAGATATCTCAAACATGGCTGATAATGTGTGGAAATATCATTTACAAATTATTAATAACACTTAATTTTTAGTTATTACCTATATAATCTGTGTTGTTTGCAAGTGACTTGGCAGGAAATATGACATTGTGGTGTGCTTCATCATTACTGGATGGAGGTGGCTCATAACCATCACTGTCATGTTCTGCTTCCTCAGGTTCTTCTGTTGGTGATTCATAGTCAGCCTCATCTTCCTGTTCCTGGTCATCATCAGGGCTTTCATAGTCATCATCTTCATCCTGGTAAATGTACATAAAAACTGATTGCTGTACCAGGATACTAATAATCACTCCAGTGCAGTTTCCTTGTGGCTTTTCACTGCGGTGGTTTTCACTCTGGAGGATATAAAGGTTTTACAACCAGTCAGAGTGAAAAAATTCACTGTGGAAATAAAGTGAGGAAAGGAGGCAGCATTTTCTTAATGCATACAGCACTCACGAGCTTCAGAAAGGAAATGAGTATCATTTTATAACAGTAAGTGCAGTTGAAGGTCAAGATAAGGTGATTGCTTATTGAAATTCACAGTGCCTTTGTGTTAGTTAACAGACAAGGCACCCTGAAAACACACTGGAGCAGCAGTTGACGCCTGTTGGCATTCATTCTTACTTAATAACATGTACTCTGCAGCCTGCAACTCAACCTGGAAAAACGCTTCAGAAAAAATGAGGTCTTTGGTATGGGTCCTGGTGCCCTCCGCTGACCAGAGCTAAACCAGCTTCATACAACTTGCAGGACCTAGTAAGATCACAGTGAAAATACGGTAGTGGTCATTGCACACAACTGCTGTACAATCTGCCAAGGCTGCAAGGAAAAGAATGCTCAATTTGTCATTGGTATCTTGGCTGAAATTCCCAGCTTAACTCTGCAATGGGGGGCTCTGTAGTTGATTACTTCTACTTTTTGTGCTTGTAAACCAGCAGCAAATCCCCTGCAAACCTATTAGCAAGTGGGTTTTAAAAATCCTTCCCCATTTTCTGCAAAAAAAAACAGGCTGGCATCAGTCAAATTATCCATTCAGCTAGCTGAGCTGTGGGTGCTTCATATAATGACGTTCACCAAAGTACTTTCTGTGCCGAAAGGCAAAAGGAACTTTTGCAGTCCAATTGGCTTCAGAACATCAGATTCTTCAACAAATCAGCTGTAAAGAATAAAATGCCAATAATTTGCCATTGAGTAACACAGCAATCTTTCCTTTACCAGCCTCCTCTGCAAACAGCTTGGAATCAGTATGTAAAATTCAGTGAAGGCTCTGTCGAGACCTGGTCATAGGCCGTGAGCTTCTACTGGAGCCAGTGGTATTGGACTGCCATTCTGAAGCACTGCATTAAGTTACTAGGGGAGACCATTTTCTCCATGGAGAAACCTGTGTGCAGCAACTCCAGTCATTCATGCTCCTCCTTCTCTTTCTCCTCATCCTAACACCCCCTGCCATTGCTCTCTCCATCTGTACCGTTCAAAGTAGACAAAGTAAGAAAGAATAGACCATATACAAGAGGAAATCCATTCAACCAGTAGGTTTTGTGGTTTTGTTAAACCTGATACTCACAAATGAAGACCAACCACCGTCGTCTTGACCCACATATCCTGTGTAAAGAAACATAACGTGAGGCTTCTTAGCATGCACAGCTTTAAACTACCAAGATGTAACTTGACAAAAAGGACACAACAAATCCCAGATTGACTCTGAACCATGATATTATGTCACAGGAACAAGGTAGGTCTTTCAAAGGCAGGCAGGCATGAAAGGTACCTCAGATGGCATTCTGATTAAGAATATAGCTATCCTTGTATGAGTTGGTGTACATGCTGTTACTTCAAGTTTATCCTACACTTCAGTTTTAAGTATTATTTGAGGCAGAATGCTTTCAGAATGAGCAGAGACTTTTGATCTCTTTGTTTAATACTATTTTAGCTTTTATATCAAAAAGGTTTTTTTTATTTCAGTAGGACTAGGGAACATGGCAACTTGAAGAAGTTTTAAGTGCTCGCAGCTGCTTAAGAAAGTGATTGAAATGAAAACTCAGAACATCTAGAAGCTTCCCTCTGACAGAGGGTGCTGTTAGGAGTAGGGACAGGGGGTAGAGGTGTTGGAACAGAAATATATAAGCAGTGATACTTTATGTTGGATTCAAGAAAGGCAGTTAGTGAACGCTCATGCAAATTGCTCTGCTCCTGCTTTTCTTCACCATTCTTTCTATTTTAAAAGTATTTTTTTCCTACTGGCTCTCCTATAACTGCCCTTTATTCTTATTGCAAGTGCTTCATGCTCTCGTCTTTGCCTGTTTATTGTTTTGGGTTCTGTTCCCTTGTCCCCTCCCTCTTCTTCCCCTCATCTACTGTGCCCTGCAAGGATTAACTTAGTATTTTAGTATTTTAAGCACTTTTTGTTGTTAGAGGCTCTTTGACAGCTCACACTCACCTGGGGCTTCAGGACTTTTTTGTGTTTGGGCCCTACAACAAAGACACAAGAAATTAAAGTCCTTCCATTTGCCATTCTTAGAAGTTTGAAGCATACTAAAATCTGTTGTGAATAAAGGTAACAGTTAGCTTTAGCAGTAGAATGAACTTTGCATTGGCGAGTTTAACTCTGCCCAAAATGCCAAAACCACCCTGCTTTGTGCTTCACGTACAAGACCCTAATGTAAGCTAAACTGTCTTGAAAAAAAATCAAGTCACTGAGGTAAAGTGTTTAGAAACAAGGGAACTCAGAAAATAAATCTACCAGGGCCTCAGTGCTGAAAACTGAAACTTTCTTTCCTAATCCCGGTCAAGCTGCCGAAAGTCAAGTTCAGAAATATTTGTAGGCTTGCTAAATATTCTTATGGGTTTCGATTCTAGTTTTGAACTCCAGTAAATGCAAAGGTGTAAACTCATGTTATCAGCTGATGTAAAAACATGTTGTGTTGAGTAGGCTTAGATGTTCACTACATATGAACATAAATTGTTCTTTTCTCAGTCAATGTTCTTGCAAGTTTCTGCTCTTTTACCTATTGCGAGAATATTATAGAATCATAGAATCATAGATAGTTAGGGTTGGAAAGGACCTTAAGATCATCCAGTTCCAACCCCCCTGCCGTGGGCAGGGACACCTCACACTAAACCATGGCACCCAGGTCTCTGTCCAGCCTGGCCTTGAAAACTGCCAGGGATGGAGCATTCACAACTTCCCTGGGCAACCCATTCCAGTGCCTCACCACCCTTACAGTAAAGAACTTCTTCCTCAGATCCAATCTAAACTTCCCCTTTTTAAGTTTGAACACGTTACCCCTTGTTCTGTCACTGCAGTCCCTAATGAATAGTCCATCCCCAGCATCCTTATAGGCCCCCTTCAGATTATATCCAATAAGTTATAAAGTATTAAAAAGTGTAATGATGTATAGGAGTGCAAAATGCATTAATGATGACTTATTTATGCAGTAACATGTGCCTAAGCTTTTAGCATTCCTAAAGATTGATTGAACTCTGGTAGAAAACTGTATGAAATGTATGTTACTTGGTTCCAGGCATGGCAGAAGTACCTGGGGTCTTTGTGGACTCAGTCTTTGCTATTCTTAACAGACAACATTAACTAAACAGACTTGGATTTTATATCATTTCAGGCTATCCCTCTGACCCAGGTATTATTGATCAAATGGAGAACAGGTGAGAAAATACAGATCTGAAAGCTTTGACAAGAGAAGCTGAATTGGTTTACTTACCATTTTGGAAGGAAAGAAAGCCTCCCTTCATTCCTGTTTATTTCTTGGCTTAATTTACTTACAATTCTAGTTAAAAGAAAGACAAAAAATAGTTAGAAAAATATCCTTGAAACTTGCCATTTTCTGAGCTGTTTCCCCTCAATATTTGCTAAACTAAGAATATTGAATTGATCATTGTGCTGCAAAGTTGCACTACAGCATGCCCAATTGAAAACTGGGCTTTTTTTACAGAGACAAGCCTCCATGATGTTGGATCAAGTTTAAAAACAAACATTAAGCCCAGCAAGCCTTAGATGCTTAGGGTGTGCTAGATGTCACACACTAGAACACTGCTGCTTTGAATGATGTCAACTGCATTTGTGTTATTTTGCATGGAAAAGCAGATAATGCTTCAAGAAGAAGCTTCCACCAAGCTGATGGTTGCAAAAGCAGGGTTAAATGTCCCCTCTGTCTGCTGTATTATTCTGTCTCCCTCCCTCTACAAGATATCACCACCAAGATACACCTAATCCGGAGTCCCTCCAGTAAAGAAAGTACAAAGGTTGACATAGTCCCATGTTATAACACATTTGCAGGGCAGGGCAGAAATACCATGGAATGTATAAGGACTACAGCTTTCTGTCTAAGGAGATTTTTCCAAGGTAATGTGTTTGTTGTCACTCATGCATGAGTTGTAAAGAGCAGTAGGCTGATCATCAACCAGGGAAATGCAATCCTGAGCACAATTGCAGTCAGGAATGTTTATTTCTGATTCTGATTCTGCTGCCAACCACAGCCAGCACAGACATTGGTACTGAGAGTTTTCTCATTGACTCCCCGAGAGCAGCGCTGAGGTTACAGGACAGGCATCCCTGAGCTGAGTACTGGGAGCTGCTGCTCTGCCATTAATGAAGTTTGCCTCAATGCCTATTTTGTTTCAAATAATGTTTTTGTTTCTAAGAGAGCTTGTGATCAGTCATGGGCTGACACTTCCTTTCTTGCTCGCTTTCTGAGTGATGCCCCACCGAGAAAGTCCTGTGACAGCCAAAGGAAATAGGTTGCATACATCTGGTGAAAAATATCCCTTCTAGCTTATATTATTTAGGTCTGTGTGAGACAGTAATTGTGGAAATAAAAGTAATATGAAAAAAAAAATCATTAATTCAACATGTCTGTCTCAGATTCTAAATTCTGTACAATCTTAACTGTGTTGTTTGTTAGTGCAGAATTCTTTTCCAAACATCTTATTTCGGGTCAATCACACTTCATCTCAGTATTGCAGAATCTGTTTTTATGGCCAGGCGCTCACCACTCTATTTTGCTTTTCTTCTTTCTTCAGCTACTCTGCAATAATAATCCCCTAAGTTTTTCCAAGTGACCTCATTTGTGTTTGCTTTCATGTGTAACTGTTTTCTGGGCTGGGACTTCAGAAGGACGAGCTTTCTAGCAATCTAGTATTAGAAAAAATGCCAACATCCTGAACCATGCTAAAATCTTTCTCTTATTTTGACCATCCCTTGTCTTGCCCTTGCTACGTCCCTAGTACTTGCCTTGCTGTACTTCAGATTAAAGGATAAATTCAAGACATAGGGTTGCTCTGTTGTATTATGGAAAATTCTGTGGTGAGAGATAAGGCTGCCCGCAAGAACAGGCGATTTCAGATCAGCATGGTCACGCTGTCAGAAAATGGTGAAGAGTAATGTGAAATTGAGGATTCGTACTTAAGGATCCAGGTATGAAAACAGAAAGGCAGAGGGAGAATATTTTACATTTTTCTTAAGACACTACTTGGCACTTTTCTATTTAAAGAGAATATTGCTTCACTTGCCGCTTTGGAAATAAGTTTATGCACAAATGTTAATCATTTAAGAGGGATTACAGCTAAATCTGACACTGTTACCCAAGACAATTTTACAAAGCAAGAAAAAAGCCAAGTTACAGGCATGTGCTTCATATGAGCATATAACATATGTTCTTCTTTCCCATGCCATCAACATTCCTCTGCATGAGAACTGTCCTGCTGCAGGTGGTAAGGAGGTCGCCATGCAAATAATAAATTCCATGTGAAACACACACCAGGAAACATTCCAGGGTGAACAGTGCACTGACCATACCAGTGCTTTGGTGGAGAATTGGATTACGGAACTGGTGTGTGGCTTGTTCTCTGGTGTGGAAGATGTGGAGGAAGGATCTTTCATAATACTGTGGAGTTTTTTCAGCTAAAGAAATGAAATGAAGATCACTGGCTTTAGAGCTAATCATTCTGGTTGTTCAGACTTATGTGGACAAGAATGAGACGTGTTAGGAAGCTTTCTGGACTAACCCTGGCTGCTATGACCATTTACATCAATTGGGTTTTGAGGAAAACCTGAAAGGAGAATATTGCTCATCTTATTTTTGATGCCAAAGCAATTACTTATTTGTTGCTTAAAGTAACAGTGTCTAATATTCAAGCTTATTTGAAATGCTTCAAAGCAATGGCTTAGAGAGGTTGTTAGAAGAAAGCAAAGTTAAGAAGGTCAATGCTTTGCAGGCAAGGTTATTACAGAAGTGGGTGCACTGAGCAGCTGAGCTTGCAGCAGTGTGAGGAAGGAAGTGCCCAAACCGCACTGCTTTCTGAGCCGGGGAGTGGGCGATAGGAGCTGATAAGGCAACAGCACTTGCAGAAAATGTTACTCAGACTTCTCTTTCTCTTTCTGCCTCCTCCACCTCATGCTTGGCTTCAGGCTTGGAGGAAGATGAAAATCAGAAAAAGTGAAACCCAACCCCAGGCCCAAAGCAGGACTCTGGCTCGGCTTTTGCTCACTGAGTGCAGATACTGGTGTGAATAGAATCCATTCTACAGGGAGAGGATAAAGGACTTAAGATGAGAGAGAAAGATGGGAGGCAAAGGTCTCTACAGCCAGGAGGTTGCAGAGTTGCAGACTGAACACTGTTGAGAGCATAACTGGTGCTGAAGTCATTGTTTTGGCCTTTGAGAAAAGTCTGTTGGGCAGTTGCAGTACTACTACATTAGCTTCAAAACTGGCCGAATATCCATTATTTTCTAAACCTTTCAAAAACCTTTAGCCTCCCAGCTGAGAGAGAATGTGTGCACACACATCCACCTCTGCCCATTGCATACCATCTGGAAAGAGAGGGGCCCCAAGAGCGCTTAATTCTTACATTTGCACTTTGACTCCCTGAAAGCATAACGACTTTCAGGCTGTGCTGTGCTTGTAGGGTCTGAATGTGTCCCCTTCAGAATTCAGCTCACTTCCCATGTTTGAAGTGGCAGATGCAATTATCTGCTTTAGTGCAATGATGCTCCCTTTATGACTGAAAAATTTCACAAGCGCTATGGATATGCCACAGGTTTCCTGACCAAGGTGGATAATTTCCAGTCCCAGATCTGCCAGTGCCCTGCTGCTGAGGAGCTGAAGGGATCAGCAGCCTGGAGTAGTGCCTGGACTTACCAAAAACTTTGAAAAGTTTTCTCTCAAGATAGTAAGCAATAAGAGTGCCAGTGATTAAACTCAGTGTTTATATCATGGTTCAGGTACTGGCCAACCACCAACGTTATTCTGAATGAGACCATGGCTTTTTCTTGTTCATTGATTCTGATCACATCAAGTGAGGTGCATTCTGTTGAATGTACTTTAAAACATTTTGAAAGACTCCCATTTGTTAACCACAAGTATAAACGTTTATGACCTTATGTGACTGGAAATAATGATAATGAGCAATAACAAAACTCCATGTGTCCCTTAAGCCTTTTGTTTCATTAGATTCATTATCAAAATGTTAATTGCACCAGGATTAGGTCTGAGTTTCATTTTGTGCTTAAGACAGAGATTCAATGTCTGCTGTGTAATATGTACTGTATCCCTTCCCTGTTTCACCAGTGCACCACCCTTTCAGGATGCAATGTGTTGTTTGTGAACCTTCACGTGTGTGTTAACCTAGTGGCATTAATATTAACTTAGATGGTTCTTCCATAAGATACAGCAAGTACAAGAGTAATATGAACGAGCTCAACAAAACCCTTAACACTATGGTTTTTAAGAGGTTTTCATATTGTTGCAAAATGCCAAGTGTTAAGCATAGTGTATTTTTGAAGAAAGCAGGTTGTGACTGATAGCTAAGCTATTAATAACTGAAGAAACGGTTAGGTCAGCCCTGATGCTCTCTCTTACTTAGGATGACAACTAAATTCCTGACAACCCCATCTTGAAAGCTGATGGTCATGCCACAATTATTTATCTTAATTTCTCAGTGGTAAAAAGGACAAAATGTAGGAACAAGCTGTTCCTACTAATAGATTACTTGTCCAAATGTTGCTGGTCTTTAAAGGTCTGTGTCAATGGAATGTCTCCTGGGCCACAGATTTCCACTGAGTGAAACAGGGAAAACCCTTTGTGGTCTGGAACCTGGAGACTGGGTTCCATCACCTGTAATCAGGTGTTCAAAGCTTCGCCCTCAGTGCCATAGCAGATCTATGTAGGTCACTGGAACAGAAAGGCATGTATCTTTCCATGGAATGACAACTATGCTTAAATTCTTAAGACATGTTTAGTATTCTTAATATTTCACCAAGTGACCTGAAGGTGATACTCTGCATGTTCAAATAGAAATGTATATATTCAAGCAGAAATACTATGTGATGGCATGTTCTGTTTAGCTGGAATAAGCACCTAGAGCTTTACAGCAGCCCCAGAATCAATCTCCACTCCCACTTCCCTGTGTCCACCCAGAGCAGTTCAACTACAGCACATAACTGGCAAAAGACCACGTGGCTTTTCTCACCTCCCTCTTGTCCAAAGGAAAGGGTGAAGGTGGTGAGCGGGGCTGTAAACTGCCTTTTACTTTGGGAACTGGTGCCTCAGCTACACTTTGATTCTATGTGCATGTAAGTGGGAATGAAAGCAAGACTTCCACGTGGAGTCAAAACACAGCATTACGCAAAGTTGATTTTATAAACTTTTCTCTAAAACTCCTTTAATAGCAACATAAGTGCAAGAGATCTCAGGGTTCCAAAGAGCGACAGCACCATCACTGTAAATATTCTGAATGACAGTAAACCTTATTCTTTTCTTTATTTTCTTCATTCAGTCTTCATTTTCCACCTCCACAAGACGGAATGCCCCAACAGACATGTGGAAAAGGTTTCCTTAACTATGCCAGTAAAAATCACCCAGTGTACATGACCTTTCACAGGCATACAAGAAGGGTAGGAGGTGACCCTAGATGAGAATGGGGATCCCTGCTGGGTACATGGACTGTGGAGTTTGTTATGATCCCTCAAGAAATCTGTGTATGGTGCTGCATGTGCAGTGCATCCTGTGCAGACTTTTTGTCCATTAACTCTTTTGACTGCAGAAGGGTTGCCAGAATAAAACTTGCAGGACTGTTTGGAGATGTCATCCACTTTTATATGGTACCCTTACATATGTAAATGTTTTAGCAAAGCCTTCCGTAGTCTGCAGCCCTTTTAATGGAGAGTTTTAAGGATTTTGTGAGGTATTCTAACTTTCAAAATACTGTTTAAATCCTTTTTTGTATTTAAAAATAAGCCCCAAGAAAATTCATGGAGATGTGCACTTGTAACACAGCTGATGGAGATTAGCGCTCAAAAACTCTGTTAATAATAACAGAAGACTGCAGGGGGGTTCTCTTAGTTTCAGGAAATGGCTCATGATACTCACTGAATCATAGAATCCTGGACTGATTACAGTTGGAAGAGACCTTAAGGCTCATCCAGTTCCAGCCTTCCACTAGAGCAGCTTGCTCCAAGCCCCTGTGTCCAACCTGGCCTTGAACACTGCCAGGGATGGGGCAGCCACAGCTTCTCTGGGCACCCTGTGCCAGCGCCTCAGCACCCTCACAGGGAAGAGCTTCTGCCTAAGAGCTCAGCTCAGTCTCCCCTCTGGCAGGTTCAAGCCATTCTCCTTGGCCTGTCCCTACAGGCCCTTGTCCCAAGCCCCTCTCCAGGTTTCCCGCAGCCCCTTTAGGCACTGGAGCTGCTCTAAGGTCTCCCCTTCAGGAGCCTTCTCTTCTCCAGGCTGACCCAGCCCAGCTCTCTCAGCCTGGCTCCAGAGCAGAGCTGCTCCAGCCTAGACACGTAAAGGTTCTTGTAAATGTCACAGAATCACCCCAAGTAATGATACGTTTATATTTAGCACTTACACAGTAGCTTTGCTCAGAAGTATACATTTAGTCAAACCGCATATCAGGCTCAGGAGGTGTCGATGGATGGAGGCTGTGGTTTGCAAAGCCTCTATAGTTGTAAGTGCTGCCTTGTGCACTTGGTACATGTAAGTCAGCATAACCCTGCTACAGTTACTGGGGAGCAGTGGCTCTTGTACCTGTACTTTTTATTCCTGCCAATGGCTGCAGGTGTGACTCTTGCTATTTATATTAGTCATTTTTACAGACCATGCTCAGAATTTAGCACTGTTGTTAAGCATCAGGTACTATACAATATGCTAATGTGTATTTCAGCTTGTAGAAAACCTATTAGGTGAGGTTTGAATTATGGTTTGAATTATGATATGAAAGTAAGGTCTGACTGATGTAGTAGCAGTCAGCAGCAAACACTTTGCACTTTGGGGAGAGTGTGGAGATTCTGAAGTGGTGAAATTAATGTTAAAAACCTGACAAGTTCTTTTACTGATGTATTTTATTCTGCTGGGGTTTTTTGTTTGGTTTGGTTTTGTTTTTAAATGGCAACCACTTCTCTTTCCCATTAAAGCCCTAAACTCCTGCTGCAAACACTAGCATTACACTGAGGATCCCACATAACATCAACCTTGTCCCATGTGCATTCACAATAGTCTAGTGAACTGTTTCCCTTTTGTAAGTGTGGGGAAAGTTGAGAACAAGGGCATTAGTTCCGGAACTTTCATTCAGATTGTTAGTTTACTTAATCATTCAGTTCTTCAAGTTGGGCAACAAGTTTAAGTCTTCTTTTAAAGCTCTTAAGTTCAAGTTCTTGTTGGGAAGCCCAGATCTGACTAGAAAAGTCTCTCCACTTGCTGCTGGGCTGAAACAAGGTAAGTGACTGTGAAAATCAAATTTCCAAAACATTTTAGATGAGGAGATTTCAATTTCCAAACATCATAGCTGAGGGGATAGGAGCAAATCCACAGTGTTAGATTTCATTTTGACTGTTCTCCTATGACATTAATATCTCTTGTGTGTGTGGGTTTAATAGACCTTCCACTGACTGCTTGTGACTCAGAAATTTGAAAGCAAATCAGAAGTTCTCAAAATCAGAACCTCAAACAAGGAGAACACAAGGCACTTTTGCCAAATGCTGAGCTATTAGGGCATCTTCTTTTGTAGGAAGGTCTTTGATACTTCTGGTTCCACCGGCTAACACTCATGCACCACCAATCGCTATTGTGTGAAAGTACAGGTATGATCTGAAGAAACATGTAATGTCCTTGCACATCTGATCTGAATAGAGGTATCCTCCTCCCCTCAAATCCAGCCACCAGCTTACCCAAAAAGCGTGTGAATGTGACAGACCACACAGGTGTTTCAGAATGTTTCAGTGCTCTTGGCCTCACCAAAACCTCTTGCACAAGCCCTGATGCATCAGAAAACGTGAAGCAGACCGTATCTGATGTACCAAAATTAAGATATGCATAGAGGGAGTGAGTCTGGAACTGGGAAATGATCAGCAAACCATGTTGGCATAATTTGAGTTCCTTTTTTCCTCCTTACTTTGTTTAGAAGACCATGAAGAGCTCCACATGTCCTACGGTTAGGAACCTCTTAATGTCCAGCTTAAATATGTACCTGAGAACTCATAGCAAAATAAAATCCTTTGATTTTCACCATAAAATATTAGAAGCAGCTGATTTCTCTGTTACTCAGTTTAACTTAATGAGGTATTGTTCTTTGTAAGTAACGTCTTTAAAATTCCAGAAGCTATTCAGATAAATCAGGAACTTTTCCAAGGCCTGATCCACAAGAGCTCAGGGAAGCTGAACAATTGAACACTGCATCAAATGTTCCAGACTGGTTTATCTTTAATGCCTACCTACAGGAAAAGCACATGATGAAAATCACTTGAACTTCTCACCCGCTGTCTACATACCTGACTTTCTTTATTCCTTTAAGTTAAAGTTAACAATTAAACACCAAACAGTTAAATCATACTTTAACGGTAATACTTGCAAAAAAGTTTAACCTTTGTGTAGCTGCAAAGAACTTATGGATATGTTGTTTTGAACATCCCCCAGACAATATTTCTGTATTATATCATTGTGCTTGAGCAATCATGACAACCCTTCTTTCATTTTGGGGTTAACTTTTCTTTCTTGGTACACTGCAATCAACAGGTCTCTATCTAATCACTTGCAAACCATTTGCCCTGTGTTTCCTATGAGTTTTCACTGCAGACCAGCTGAAAGAATTATTAGCATTAAATTGGCTTGGCTTTACTTACGGCACTCGGAGTTTTGGAAATTTCTGAATGTCATTTTCAGTCATGTTCTGAAAAGGAAGCACATGGTACCTGTCACAGAGCTGTGCATGGAACACCCTGCTCAACAGAAGTTTGCATATGCAAAATGAGGTATCAAGTCTCAACTGGTAGGAATAGCGAGTGCATAAAAAAGCAGTGTAAGATAACAGCCTGTCTGTCCCATAGCTTGTAAGAGAAGTGAACCCATTGCCATCAAAAATCCTCCCTCTCTTTTTCTGGTTTTGCTGGATCTTGGTCTTTATGCTACATAGCTGTATAAAACCAGCTGGAGGTTAACAAACTTCACGGGTATTCCATTACGCACAAAGGACTTCAACAGAATAATCACATGTAACTGCAAAGAGAAGTATTTCTAGAATATGGCTGCAATGTTTTAGTGAGAGCTTGTTATAATGACCTGTAAGGAGAAGTAAAATCTTAAACCAGCACTTCCCAGATGAGAGTGTTTGTTTACCAGCAGATGAGCCAATCTTCCAGGATTAATGGGATTCTGTGCAAAGTTAAATCATTTGCTTTCTGATTTGGGTTCTTATCCAGTTCTTTACTGATGGTGTAGAGTCACATTGACTTACAGGCAAGCTGCTTCTCAAAAGAACTGGATTCAAACCCTCTTCTGCAACATCTTTCTCCTAGAGATTGTCAAGATGCTGAAGCTAAAGCAGGTGGACAGACAGTGACCCAAAGAATTCCAGCACTATTTTTAAGTCTTCTATTTTTTTTTTATCATTTTGTTCTCTTGCTTTCTGGATTTTCATTGTACATTGCCATCACTTAGCATACAGGAAAACATATCCTTGAGATACTATAATCCATCTTGTTGGACAGTGTCAAACAATCGATAGAGAGCTGCATCCTGGTAACATCCTGTGCTACTGATTATGGTGTGAGCCCGACAACATGGTCTGCTTGAGCCCATCAGCAGTGGCATTCTTCCTGGCAACTGTGGAATTACGCTTCTCACAGAAAATATGAAAGAACAGAATACTTCAAATGTTCTTTTAAACACTTGTAGTTTTAAGGCAATATGCAACAAAATGCCCTTTGTAAAGGGCTCTTCCTGGTAGGGAAGGCAAACTTCTACCATAAATTCTGATTTTAGACTATTTTGCTTCACATCTTTTTAGTGCAGGTAAAAAATATGGTATTTAGGTGACTTCAGAAGTTAGATTTATTGAATTCCTGTATGTCTGCATAGTGAAATCAGGCAAAGTTGTGCACAGTTGCAAATTGTCATGGTAAAACTGTAGATTTTGAAATAGAACAGCATTTGCTGGAGTTTTGTGCTAAGAACCATATGTGTAACATCACAGTACATGTAAAATCACATGTTCTAATGGAGATACGGTTTGAAAACTCCTTGAACTTAAGAGCAGCCTTTGCAGCCTAACAGAAGTCTTCCTAGAAACTGTGTGTTTCTTCCCGCTTCAACCATAGGAGAGTGTTTAGATCACAGATTACTCCTGACCTGAAGCTGAGCTGCGCTAAGTCCTGAGAGCTTTGCTATGCTGCTGCAGAGAGGGTCAGCCCCTTTCTTCTTCCATTTTGTTCAGTGCTGAGTTTAGGACAGAGTGTGGTCACTCACACTCTCTTTGGAACATGGATGATAGTCTGGTTCTGTCTCACTGCCAACAGTAAAAGGTTTCTAAGTCTGCATTGGTACACAATGTTATCAATGATTTTCAGCACAGGAGTAATCCCATCTCTGGTTTCCAGCACTATTTTGCCTCTGGGAATACTCAGGAGTAAAACACAGAAAAATTGTACTCTCTTTTTTCTAAATTTAGAATTTTTGCTAAAGACCTTTTAAAGCCTCTCTCTAGAATTCTATTCTGGCAATAAAGCTGATAAAAGTTATCAGTTTGAACTCTCATAAAAGGGCTATGGTGCTACTTTAGATATTAGAGAATTTTATTAGAATAAATTACATGGAATTGCTGCGGTCTCCTTCCTACCACAGCTCAACTGGACTTTCCTTGTGGTAGCCTTGTAGTGGATACAGAAATGTGACTTTGAAACTAGGGTGTTCTGATGAATACAGCAATACTATTACAGTCAGGTTTACCAGACAGATCTGACAGCAGACAGAAAACCTGCAAACCCTCAGACCGAGCAGTTCCTTCCGTGCTACTGTAATTTGGCACTTTCCAATAATTTACAGAATGTAAAAAGGTATTTCTGAGAAAAACCATTCATACAGAGACGTAATTGTTCTCTCAAGCTTGTGTTGCACTCCAGAATGTTCCCCTGAAAGTCTCCTTTTGTTCTGTTTCACAGGGGAACCTTTTCATATAATGACAAGATAGATATTTTTATACAAATGACAAGTAGGTCAAGAGCTTAAAAGTTTAAGTCTCAGCAGAGGTGAGTGGCTGCTTACTTAATACAAAAGCATCCTTTGCATTTGCTAGGATGCTTCTGAAGAAATGCTGCACTCTGAGACATATGGTTTAGTGGTGGACTTGGCAGTCCTGGGATAAAGAGTGGACTTGATCTTAAAGGTCTTTTCCAACTCAGTCGATTCTATGATTCTGTGTATTTAGAGAAACACTCTGGAAATACAAAATAATAGAAATCCCTTCGGAATCACACAGTTACTGCTTCCTACTCCAGCCACAGCTCCTTAGTGCATGAGCTAAGGAGAAGCTGTTAGGGGTTGGTAGGATAGATCCTGTGACAGTGACATAACTGAATAATTCTGACTCCACCCAGTAGGAGGGGGGTGTCATATCCTGTTCCTATAAAGAGTGCTTGAAAATGGGATGTTGGCTGTCAAAAACCTTGATCCATTAGGACAAGTAAATGAAATATAAGGCTTTAGAAGAGGTGCATGTAGCTTTTCCCACTTTCATTAATTGTACAGATGATCAAAATGACTACTTTGGGGGAAAACAGTATAGTTAATATTTGGAAATAAAGAAAATAAAATATATAAAATAAATATAAAATATAAAATAAAATGAAGTAACAATAAAAGCCCTTACACATCCTCTGGGTGTATATTTGAGACCCAAAACCATTTGCTATGTCAATGGAAGTTGTCAGCTTTTCTAAAGATTAGCGATGTTGTTGGTAAAGCCTGGAGCAATGTTGATTTAAACGCACTAGGACTTTTATTTTTAAACTATTACTGGTTTTGCTACTCTTTAAGTTCACTGATTTTCTACGTTTCTATATACAAAATTTAAACAAACCTAATTTGAAGTATATAGGCATGAAATAGTGATTACACCAGAAAGCCAGTCATCCAGCCCACGTCTAGATCTTCTGTAGTAGGAGAGGACAATTAATAAATGTGAGGTTTCTGTAGATAGTATTGCAAAACAAGCACTTCCTATAAAGGAACAGATGAACTCAAGACAAGATTGTGGTTTTATAAGCTCCCTGTCAGATTAAAAAGTACATAAATAGATGCATATTAAACAACATGCTTGGGCTGCCAGCATTCTGTATGTAAAGGAAGATGGCTGGCTGATTTTAGCAAAGGCACTTACTTCTCATATTTCTCAATACTTCTCAATACTTCTCAATACTTCTCAATAACCACCTTGAGCTCAGCACTTTGCATCTGCTGATGCAAACTAAGAAGTTGAAACAATCACTTGGTGGGAATTTTACAGGAAAGAACTTTTACAGATCCACTTACCAGAAACCGTTGTCCATTTATGCTGTGCTTCCTCACGACTTTCTCACAGTCCTTATACTTTAACTGTCAATGACAAGAAGACGATTATTGCAGCTTCATTTTAAGAATGGATGAAGACACTTAGCCATATCATTTGCTTTGAGTAGATGCTCCAAATCACCATTTCATATGCTAGAGCCTATCTAAATGGCTTGATTTTTTTCTGTAAACATGGATTTTTAAGAGAAATTTCTGCAGTGGACTTGACAATTCCATCCTTTTAGGAACATATAATTCCTCACATTTAAAAAACACCTCACAGTTGCATGGCCCAAAGAAATATCTGGAAAACGGATAGTTGTGGTATTGACTGTTGTGGTATTGACTGTTCTGGAAAACAGGAAGCACAGCAAATACTTGGTAGCTTGGAATACTAAAGTCCTGATCCCAATCTCTGAATTCATTGTGATCCAAAAGCTTCCTCCTCTGGATGGATACGTTGCTTGCTAATCCTGGAAATTATCTGTAGTATTTGGAAAGTTTTTCCCCAATATCCTGTTTTGTGGTAGTATTTAGGACAAGGACAGGCAGTTTAGAAGCTGATCACATATATAATAAAATAAAGCTCCTGGTCCTACCAGGCAAAAATGTAACAGTAATTTGGGGGACTTAAATAAAGAAGAAGCCAACAAGCGCAAACCCTAGTGACATACAGCAAGACCTGACTCGTAAATATTTCCAGTGGGTGTCCTCAGGGTTCTGGGTTTTCTTCTTTTGTTTGATCAGAAACAGCATGTGAGAACACTATTTGTATTTTTTACTGGGTTAGAATGGCTTTTTCCTGTTCCAAGTTGATCAAGTCCGTACCAGAAGGAACCCAAAGAGTGGGCAAAGTGACATTTTGGACCCTTCAGGAAAGAAGAATGGCTCTAGTCCTGCCTGAAACTTTAGTTAGGGAAAGTTAAGCAGACACATGATCCTGTGCTGCTGCAATAATTTCCCTAAAGCAGGGAATATGTTGTAGGGAGCATTATGTCCTTTCTTAGTTTTATCTTATTTATTCATTTGAAAGAATAATCTTGTAACTTGGTGTTATATGAGAGCAGGTCCTGAAAACATCTGCACAGCTGAGAGAATGTTTTTAGGACACTTCAGTTACACATACGCAGAAACAGTCCAAACTCTGCTAAACACCTCAGGACACAGACTAAGACATTTGTGCAGACTGAGGACTTCAAGCTGCAAATAACTGTCTCAGTCAGTGAGTGTTGTCATGACATTACCAGCACAAATCTGTGTGCAGCAGTGAGCAGCTGCCATACTTGGTAGAACACATCAGTGGGACGGAGACCTAATCTCATTTGTAAAGTAATTGATGAAAAATACTGTTTAGCTTTTAAAAATAACTATTTCATTATCATATTACCAGCATGACCAGCTTTGCTTTTACATTTTAGAGTGCATAGTATAAATTAGCAGAGGCTTAAAGTTAACACACCAGATGTTGCTACTGTTAAGTGTGAAGAATTCTTATTTGGCAGACACTGAGGAACCTAAAATTAGAGGTTTGCAGGTAGCTGGTAGTTTCCAAACATAGGCTTTGTGTTTGAGCTACTTGTCTTTATTAACTGGTTTTGCATTCTAGTATCAAACTTGCCTCAACAGCTCAAATAAAACTCTCATAGAGTTATAGGAGCCATTGAAACAATGAGCTTTATGTGATTTTTAAATGAAGCCTAAACTCTTACAAGGCTGGTCTGGCAGCTCGCTTGAAAATTAAGCACCTATGCTGGCAGTGCTTGAAAGTCTTTCCAAATCTCCGAATCATCCCAAATCTTGTTGATCTGAATGTTAAAATCCAGGCTGAAAGTTTTGGTCTTTGGGAGGAGCAAATTCAGCTGCAAGGGACACAGAGCAGGCCCTGTCTCTGATCCTGAAGAATGAGGAATTTACAGAGAACACACAGAAATGAAACTCTAGTAAAACTGGCTCAGTTACACATTTGTGGGCAATCAGAAAGGTCTCAGCCTTCCTGTATTGCCTTTCAGAGTACTTCTTCAGTGTGGAAACTTCTCTGCCTTTTAAAATGAAAATTATAGATAGTCACAAGTGAAAAAGATATCAAAAGAAACAGAAGTCCCTGGCTGGTCACACAAGGAAACATCAGAAAGTGTAACCAGAAAGAGAGGACAGCTACTAACCCTGAACCATGGGTTTTGGCCAAGAAGTTTTAGAAGGGGGAAGTCAAACCAAAAGGCAAAAAGTTTTTCCAACTGAGGCTAAAAAATGTGGAGTCTGTGTATCTACAACTGTGGAGTTCTTGCTGGGCTCTCATGGATGTGATTAGCAAAGACATTCAGAGGCACATTTGTGAACACTAAGCAACTTGAAAATACAAAATGTCTTCTGAAAATCATTGAAGAAGAGCTAAAAAACTTGTACTTTTCACACATTAATACCTTCTACAGTTGTTAATGTTTTATATCAACAATTGTTGTAGCAAAATGTGCATTTTCCTGAAAAGCCACAAGTTTCTCTTATGCCCAATTTCAAACATGCTTTCAAGCTTCATTTACAGAATTTGCTGGCCAGTTTAGTTGAGCTTCTTGTCAGTGATTTTGATTTTGCAACAAGTTCTGCCCATTATAAACCTATGTAAATTTAGCACCATGTTGCAGCAGTTTGCTCCTCCATCACACAAAGACAAAGCACAGCTGAACTTACTGTCCTGAAGTAGTCTGCCAAGTCATCTGGGTTCCAGGTAAGCACATCTGAACGGTACGGAATGTTCCTTAAATCCATGGTGAAGTTTTCTCCTCTAGGCAGTTAGAGAAGGTTTGAGCAGTACTGTCGGTGGAGCAGCCATATATTCCTTGTGCGTGACCACCTCCAGCGTGTCCAGGAATCCTTTGCCTAATGCTCAGCTTCTTCCATGTAAGAGCTGTTGTTTTTTTAAATGTAGGACCCCGTTGTTAGGATCTCTGAGAGAGATACGGCTTCCTCTGACACAAAATGGTCTCTTCTCAGAAAAGCTGTCAGCTCATCAGCCTTACCACTTCCTTTGTCTGAGCATAAATAAGTAAACAAGGAAGCACAGCAAAGCATTGAAAATGTTCTGCCTGCTGCACATAAGTAAGCTCCTATGGACTCTGTTTGCTTGTAGTTGCATACATTTATGTACATACTCCAGAGAGTATAAAAATAGTGGCATGTTATCTGCACAGACATTGGCTGTTGTGCAAGTCTAGCCCAGGCAAGCACCCCTCCAAAGAAGAAAAGGTTCACTTGAGAGAAACTTCTTCAACTTGCCTCACTACCTGAAGTGTCACATCGTCTTTCTCTGATCTCTGCAGCAAGAAAGGGTACTTGGAGCTGTGTATAACATGGTATGCATGAATTAGGCGTAGGTTTAGAGCCAGCATTCCTTCGAATAAGAAATCTCTTGGTGAAACTAAGAAATGGACAAGCTTATATGAAAAATAATTATATTGACATTGTTTCAGAGCTCCTTTATCCAGCTATGTCTAATGAATTTTGTGTCTGAAAAAGAATCTACAGAACCATAATATCCCCACAGGGACATATGATAGACTGCATCTATCATGTAGAGGCACTTCAGGCAACAGCCTATCCCAGGTCCCTTTGGTGAGACTCCATTTAGTAATGCCAAATGTGCCTGGTTTTTTAAAAAGCCACATGTCCCTTCTCCCTATTCCTGATGTGGAGCTTCCTCCCACAGCTGCATTGGTATGAATGCTTAGGGTCACTGTTCACAGCTGCTCCGTCAGACTGCACCAAAGGTGGTATTTTGCGAGCTTCCTGTATTAGTAAGAGTAGATGCATAGTTCTGAAGCACTGGAAGGGAAAGTTTCCCTTCTTTCTAATGCATGACTCTCACTATTTCTAGCCATTGAAGACCTTTTAACCTTGCATCTGTAGTTTGCGACTGGATGGCATCCAGGTGCCTGTATTTGAGATCACATCTGCAGGCCCATATAGTGTTGTACAGAAGAGATTTCCTTTTGAACTTCAGAGTCAAGTACCTTACTTTTTCTGCAGAAATTTTGATAAATGATGGTAGCAGCATGTTATTTAAAGCTCTCTAAAACTAAACTGCTCTAACAGCTGTTATAAACTGTGTAGCATTTATCAAATACATGCTAGAGCTGTGTTTTATGGGTTCTTATTTGAAATGACCTGTATGAATCATCTGAGGCATGTACTGACAGTATCAGAGAAATATCACCACCTTTTCACTGTAAATCTAGGTTTGGGGATGGAATAGGACTAAATTAACTTGTGACAAAGAATTCCCAAGGGAGAAGTTATTTTGGTGGTGCATTTTCAGCAGTGCCAAAGGGGAGATACCATAGCATACATATGAGACACCCCCTTATACTCTCAACAGAGAAACAAGTTTCTTACAGTGCAGAGACAGGAAAAAGCCTCTGCTATAATTCCAGTATTTCATTACATTCTAATCTAATTTCTATCCCAAATGCAGTGTAGCAGCTCTAATTTCAATTGTGCTATTCCGTATTTATACTGATATAAAACTAATTAGCCTGGTCAAAATTTAGTGAGATGATGGTATAGAATAATCATAGTATCATTTATTATGATGCTGAGATAGAAGAAAAGCAGTCACCCTTAAAATCCATCTGCTAGTCTAGAGAACAACCGCCATGGAAGTCCTAACACATTGATCTAATTACTGTTGTTTGCTTGGATCCTGTCTGTCACTGAGTGCATTACCGCTACATGCATATTTCATGCACTTTGCAAAACCCAGCTGCAAGTGTATTGAGCTTTGTCTTTAGAACTTCTTTTGTAATGTGCTAAACACATAGGATGTGATGGCCAGGAGAGGCTTGCTGAGGAAACATCCCCTTGTATTTTCTCCTTTTGAGTTTCCTGATACTGTGCTAGATCAGTGTAACAATTTGAAACTGCATTTCCAACCTATGTCTGTATCTGAACATGTCAATGGAAAGTGTTGTTCAACACACAAATAACCACGCATGAGTCATGGCCCCTATTTGTGACCAGTCTGCAGAGAGTTGTTTTGAAAGATGCTTTTAAATGTCTGTCTTTGTGGCCCAGAAGGGCAACGTGGCAAATCCCATATTCCACACAAAGGAAATCTTGATCCTGGTAAAAAGCTCACATTAATTCCTCATGCTTTTAATTGTTCTTTCCTACTTATTATTGTTTCTCTCTTCAGAGTCACTGTTATTACCTCCAGAAGTAGCACTTCCACCCATGTGCTCCTGATGTTCCCCATGTCCTGCACGCAGAGAGGCAATTCCAGCACTGATGGTCATCAAGAAAAAGTTGAATATCCACACCACTGCAAGCCCACATGCCAGAATCTAGTCAGATTTGGGTAGGAGTCTGCAGGAGGATGTCTGGGAAGCAACTGCATCTGAGGAAGACAGAATGATGGCAGGGAAAGCTTTAGGGCAGTTAAATGAACTGCAGCTAGCAAACAAGGCCACATAGACAGGGTTCCTGGGAAAGAACGTCAAGTTCAACAGGCTGAATGCAGCAATTTCGGTTGATAACTAAACACATTTCGGAGGTGGCAGTCCTAACTGTCTACTGGGAACGATCACATGCTTTGAATCTTAGTGGTTCAACCTTAAATTGCAAGAAATGGAGACATAAAAAGTAGGCAACACAAATGTATCTGTTGCATAATATAATTAGTTATATAATTCAGTTGGCAATCTTGCATGAAATGGATTTTAAGAATTTAGCTTTTCAAATGTTGAGAAACATTGATATTATGACTATTATCAGGGTCCTTTTCCACTGTGACCTTCTTTGTTTCTTTCTAAAGAATTAGATCTTTTGTAGCTGATGCCTGCAGTGGCACAACCTTCACATAAATGATGTGTTGTCAAGTAACATCTGCCAGTGGTACAGTGCTGTAAGAGGTAGTGAGAGTTTGGTGACTGGTGTTCGGAAATGTGAGAGTCTAACCATTTTAGGCAGTGCAGGAGGGAAATTCACACTGCCCACATGCTACTGCCTTCAAAGAAAGTCATTATTTTCCATCTTCTCTCAGCTCTTTCTGGTGGTGTTCTGTTCCACAGCACCCTGTTTAAAGTGGAGCCAAGGGCCGACTTCGAAAAGCTTTCAAAATAGCCTGTTTTTCTAGAACAACTCAGTTTAAATGTCAGTTTTCCTAGAGCCAAGCAAAAAAAGTTCAAACCTCATAAGAATTGTCTTCATAGAATCATAGAATCACAGAATAGTTAGGGTTTGAAAGGACCTAAAGATCATCCAGTTCCAACCCCCCTGCCATGGGCAGGGACACCTCGCTCTAAACCATATTACCTGGCCTTGAACACTGCCAGGGATGGAGCATTCACAACCTTCCTGGGCAACCCATTCCAGTGCCTCACCACCCTAACAGGAAAGAATTTCCTCCTTATATCCAATCTAAACTTCCCCTCTTTAAGTTTTAACCCATTACCCCTTCATATTCATCTCAGTCCCAAAGCAAAGTGAATCTTTATGACATGTTTTTCTTTTGTCCTGCACAATTTTGTTTTTAAAAGACTTGGGTTCTTTTTTCCTTTTATCCAGGGAATATTTACTATTGGCAGCTTATATTTCCTCCTTTAACATTACATGCCTTATTCCCAAGCTGTATATCTATCTATATCTACTTTCACTTCTATACCTTTTAAAAATCACTACAGTATTGTCATATATTCCTTGCTGTCTTTAATAATCATTGAGATACATTTTCTACTCCTCAGATGTCCTTCTCCATTATTCCATTGGTTCTTGCAGTCCAGGAGCCTCAACTCAAGAGCGGCGAGAGCCACCGAGGGAGCCTCAAGCCCTCAACAGAACCTGCCCAGGAGCCGGCAGCTCAGCTGAGGCGAGCAGGGGCTCACAGGGGGCGGGGCCAGGAGCAGCGGCACCAGCCCTGAGCGAGTAAAAACCTGCCCCAGGGAGCGCGGGGAACCGGGCCGGTCGAGGCAGTTTGCGCGGCAGTGCGAGCCGGATGGTGCGCACTCGGCTAACGGCCACGGCCCGGTCTGGGAGCTCTGCTCTGGCTGGCCCGGCGGTGGCCACCGTAGGCACCCAGACAGAGCCGATGAGAGGGGAGGCTGCGCTGCACAGCTCGGAGTGCAGAGAGTGCCTGCGCTGCTCTGGTGAGGGAAAGGTGCACAGTGGGCACGGCTGCACTCGGGGCTCCCTGGTGCAGTCCTCCTGCAGCAGGGGCTGAGCTGCGGGACGCTATTAACAGACTGCAAGAGGTCAGGGTAGCTGAGAGGAAGCAGGAATGCTTGCTCCAGGCCCAAACTGTGCAGGGGCTTCAAGCGTCCCCTGTAGCTCATGGAGGAAAGAAGGAGGCCGTTAACCTGCGAAGCTGGGAATTGGTGACCAAAAAAAAAAAAAAAAAAAAAGAAAACCGACAAAAAAAGGAGGAAAAGGACAGTTAAAAGCAAGGGACTTCCTCCTGAACCTGTTGCCCCCACGCAGAACCGCTTTGCTGTCCTGCAGGGGGCTCATGAGGAAACGCACTCGCCAAAAACAGCCTGTTGATGCACTATAAAGAAGATCACTGTCGGTGCTGCCAGGAAAAAGCGGGCAGTTGTAGTACTAGGGGATTCTGCTTTGAAAGGGACAGAAGCACTCGTCTGTCAGCCTGACCCATTCTCAAGGGAGGTGTGTTGCCTACCTGGGGCAAGGATCACGGATGTTGCAGAGATGCTGCCTGCTCTAGTAAGCCCCACAGACTGTTACCCACTTCAGGTGATACATGTGGGTGCTAGGGATATAGATAGTAGTAGCCTGGGGAACATAAAGAAGGACTACAGAGCCCTGGGAGAGGTGGTTAAGGGCTCTGGAGCTCAGACAGTCTTCTCATCTATTCTCTAGGATACAGGGAAGGACCTAAAAAAAAGCTAGGAGGATTAGCCAGGTTAAAAAATGGTTAAAAGGGTGGTGTCACAGTCAGGGGTTTGGGTGTCTAGAACATGGGACCCAAGTTTGTAGGACAGGTCTAGTGGGGGCTGGTGGAG